GTTATTAGCAAATTAAATTAGGATTTGTCATAAAAGACTTCCATCCCAACTTTGTGCTCTCAATATGACATATATTAATGCTAATGGAGTTGGGCATAATGTTTTGTTTTTATTCATTCACAGGATGTGAGCGTTACTGGCTAGGCCCAGCATTTGTTACCGATCGCCAATTACCCAGAGGGCAGTTAAGAATCAACCACATTGCTGTGGGTCTGGAGTCACATGTAGGCTAGACTAGGTAAAGATGGCAGTTTCCTTCCCTAAAGGACATGAGTGAACCAGATGGGTTTTTCCAACAATCGACAATGAACTCATGGTCATCATTAGACTCTTAATTCCAGATTTTTATTGAATTCAAATTCCACCGTCTGCCATGGCAGGATTCAAACAAAGACACCAGAACATTATCCAAATCTCTGGATTGACAATCCAGTTATACTACCACGCGGCCATTCTCTCCCCTTTTTTACAACCCAAGTTTTCGCTGCTCTTATTTGACCAGGAAGCTCTTTGATTCTAACTGCAGCATTGTCAGCTGTGTGGGTTTCACCACTGAAAACTATCTCGCACTGTGGAATCACATCTGTCCTCTGTGCATGACACCAGCACTTTAGTTTGAATTGTAACCATTTGAGAAATAGGTAAGGTTAAGAGTGGATATTACCAAATGTCCAGTTTCATTGTCAGGAACAATATATCACTGAACAAATTCTGCCTTGTTTGGTAGATAGCATGAAGCAACTTAGGAAGATACTTGATAGATAAGGGTCATTTTCATCATATCTTTCCATTTGCACCCCTAAAGTACACAGATCTTGACCTGGGTGGTCAGAACTCACGCGAGAAAAATGGGAGTACCTAAGTGAATGTAGGTGAGTCGGAATCTGTTGGCATGAGACCAACAGGACTATTTTTGCTGCTGCTCATGTTGTTACTGAAGTAACTCCACAGAAGCTGGTATCTCATCACCAAGTCACCTTTCATTTACATTTGCAGAGTCCTTGCCACTGATCGAGCTCCTCCAGAGCCAGCTGTCAGAGTGAGCAGGATGTCTGACACTACTGTTCTTATCTGTCACCCAGGGCTCCAGATTAATGGCCCCAATCAGGGAACCCATATTCTATGAGTCCACCAGGCTGACCTCATTACAATCACTGCAGTTCCAATAGTCTTTTCTATAACTACAAACCATGTGAGAATTTTGTAGCTTTTTATAAAGGAATCCTTGTCTGCTCTTAACAGAAACAGACTTTTAGGGACACATGTTGCTTGAATTAAAATATGTGCTTTGCCACTTAAAATGATTTCAAATGTAGTAATATATTTTAAGGTCTTTAGGGTTTTCTGGCAATGCAGTCTTTTCTTCATGGAATCCAATTTGGCAAAGACCTGAGCAACAACAGCTGCAGGAGAGAGGAGCAAATCAGAATTATGGCAGTTGTAAAAGCAAATAAAACGAGTCTCCGAACAGACCTTACACAATAACATTCACTGATAAACTGCATGTCTCCAAAGACCTAAAGTCAAGTTTTATCATCTGCTGCAATCACATCGAGTACAGCATTGGCTGTTGCAGAGAACTCTCTGCTCCCCAGAACGTCTTTGCAAACAATTCATTTCAGGCAGCCACAGGGGATATCAGTAACATTAGTTTGCCTGCAGTTCATACTTGCATTAAGCAGGGAAGCAAGACCATATTTCCTGGATGAAAAAATAAATCTTTAATCATTTTAAACTGTCATACTTTTCCAAAATCTTTGACGGTTTAGGATGTGTGTTTGCTCTCCTGCAGGCTGGTTTCTAGGCTGTCCTTCCACTGCATTCAGTGAGTCACATAGGTCAGACCCCTTCCCCCTCCCCAAATAAAATAGTAACTATATCATTTGGGGTCCTGATATTGTGCTGATGATTGAAAGGGTCAGAAAAAAAAAGTCCATTTTTGATAGGTACTCAATCAGAACATGTGACTTCATGGTGAAATTTTTTTTCCTTTTACTCATGGGACATGGATGTCGATGGATGGGTCAGCATTAATTGCCCCAACTTGTTGTCCTTGAGAAGGTGACAGCCTTCTTGATCGCTATTGTCCATACATTGGACTGAGGAGAGCCTAAAAAAAGGGAGACAACAAAGGTTCAACAAAGAAGGGCAAGGATTGGCAGATAAGCAGCCACGTATTTCAACACAACATTGTGTTTTTGTTATGGTGCCCCTTCAACAAGATCAGTGAATTTCTTTAGCCATTTGTAAAGAAATATTTCCTTTCAGAGTCATCGAGTCATACAGCATGGATACAGACCCTTCCAGGTCCAACTAGTTCATGCCGACCATAGTCCCAAACTAAACTAGTCCCAAATGATGACCATGTATACATTTCTGATTGTCGGAAAAACCCATCTGGTTCACTAATGTCCTTTAGGAAAGGAAACTGCCAACCTTACCTGGTCTGGCTACATGTGACTACAGATCCACAGTAAGGTGGTTGACTCTTAACTGCCCTCTGGGCAATTAGGGACGGGCAATAAATGCTGCCTAGCCAGTGACACCCTCATCCCGTGAATGAATAAAAAAATGAAACGCCTGCGCTTGGCCCATATTCCTCCAAATCTTTCTTATTCATGTACTTATCCAAATTCCTCTTAAACGTTATATTTATACCCATTTCCACCACTTCCTCTGAAAGGTCATACCACACACAAAATACACTGTGTAAAAAAAAATTGCCCCCATGTCTTTTTTAAATCTTCCCCCTCTCACCTTAAAAATAAGCCCCCTAGTTTTAAAATCTCCCACCCTAGGAAAAAGATTTCAGTAAAGCGTTTGATAAGGTTCCCCATGGTAGGCTATTGCAGAAAATACGGAGGCATAGGATTGAGGGTGATTGAGCGGTTTGGATCAGAAATTGGCTAGCTGTAAGAAGACAGAGGGTGGTGGTTGATGGGAAATGTTCATCCTGGAGTTCAGTTACTAGTGGTGTACCTCAAGGATCTGTTTTGGGGCCACTGCTGTTTGTCATTTTTATAAATGACCTGGATGAGGGCGTAGAAGGATGGGTTAGTAAATTTGCGGATGACACCAAAGTCGGTGGAGTTGTGGATAGTGCAGAAGGATGTTGCAGGTTACAGAGGGACATAGATAAGCTGCAGAGCTGGGCTGAGAGGTGGCAAATGGAGTTTAATGCGGAAAAGTGTGAGGTGATTCACTTTGGAAGGAGTAACAGGAATACAGAGTACTGGGCTAATGGTAAGATTCTTGGTAGTGTGGATGAGCAGAAAGATCTCGGTGTCCATGTGCATAGATCACTGAAAGTTGCCACCCAGGTTGATAG